GGCGATTGAAAACATCTCGTCTGAATTGACTGGTCACAAACGGTCGGGCTTGACCCTGTGATATGTCGCAGTAGACATCTACGTCAGGCTCCACCATCCTGATCCGTTTGATCTGGAGTCCTCGTGGGTTGGTCAACGTCTCCTTTAATTCCTTATCCGTCTTTTGAGCTGCAGCTAGCGCGCGGTAATCGAACGGCGCGACTAGCTCCTCCACACGTGATAAGGCGTCTGCAACAACGTTTTCCTTGCCTGAAACATGTTGGATGTCCGTCGAGTATTGCGCGATTAGGCTGAGATGGCGAAACTGCATCGGCGTGCATTTGTCTGGCTTCTGCTTGAGAGCGTAAACTAAGGGCTTGTGATCGGTATATATTGTAAACTGCCTTCCTTCAAGCGCATGCTTGAAGTACTTAATGGCAGAGTACACCGCAAGCAACTCTCTGTCATATGCACTATACTTCTTCTGCGCATTGTTAAATTTACGCGAGAAGAAGGCCAGTGGCTGCCACCCGTTGTCCAGTTTCTGTTGTAAAACTGCACCCATAGCTGCATCGGATGCGTCTGCAGTGACGCTCAGTTTCGCTCCAGCCGCTGGATGGGCCAAGCATGCCGCTTTCGCCAACGCCTCCTTTGTCCGACGGAATGCCGCTTCGGCTTCGTCGCTCCAAATCACCGGTTCTTTCTTACTGGCACCTTTCAAGCACCCTACCAACGGACCTTGAATCTCAGCTGCTCCTGGAATGAATCTTCTGTAGAAGTTCACCATCCCAAGGAACCTACTAAGTTCCGCTTGATTCTTTGGCCTCGGGTATTGCTGAATGGCATCCACCTTCTCAGGTAAAGGTGTAATGCCTTCGTTAGAAACCCTATAACCTAAGAACTGTACACCAGATTTACAAAAGGTAGACTTAGAAATATTAATAACAATACCATAATCCGCAAGACGCTTAAACAACGTTTCAAGATGACGCAAATGTTCACTCTTGTCTTTGGACGCGATAATCAAATCATCTATGTACGCATAGCAAAAATCGAGTCCACGCGTCACTTCATCGATAAATCTCTGAAACGTCTGCGCGGCGTTTCTCAAACCAAAAGTCATCACTGGGAATTCAAATAATCCAAATGGCGTCACGATAGCCGTCTTCTCGATGTCGTCTTCCGCAACCGGAATCTGGTGGTATGCACGCACCAGATCGATTGTTGAGAAAACGCTGCATCCATGCAATGACTGGGCAAAATCCTCGATGTGCGGCACGGGGTACCTATCCGGCACCGTCCTGGCATTCAATGCCCGATAGTCCCCACAGGGACGCCACTCACCTCCCTTCTTCGGAACAAGGTGAAGCGCTGACGCCCAATTGCTCTTGGATGGCCTGGCTATTCCATGTCGAATCATATATTCAAATTCCCGTTTTGCTGCCGCCAACCTGTCTGTCGTCAACCTTCGAGGACGACAGGATACCGGCGGACCTGGCGTGGTGGAGATATGATGCACCGTGGAGTGCTTCGGTATCTTATACTGTGCGGAAGGCTTGGTGATATCTACATACCTACCAAGCAACTCCCGCACCTCGCCATCAGACACTGCTACAACACTTCGCACCGAGCACGAATTGTCTATCGACACACCCGCGATTACGCTTAAACTAGTGATGCTATCTACAAGGCGCTTATTTTTTAAATCGACTAGTAGTCCGAAATGACTTAGGAAATCCGCACCTATAATGGGTCGCGATACGTCGGCTACAATAAATCTCCACATAAAACTACGGCGCAAACTTAAATCTAAATCTAAAACTACTTGTCCGTACGTCGCGATAGGCGTTCCGTTCGCGGCAACAAGTTCGAAATCCGTTCGAGTCCGTGGACCACTGAGTCTCACCCGCGGAAAAACACTGACGTCAGCCCCCGTATCGACGAGGAACTGCGTCTTCGTCACGGCATCGTTTACGAAAAGGCGACGCGTCACATTACCCGGTTCGCCGGTCGCCATTAACGTCCCGGGCTCGTGTTTTCCGGCGCTTTATAATTACACGGGGGAACACACCGGTACGCTTTTTCCTTGAACCGCCAGTGGTAGAAACACATACCCCCACGCTGCTCGTTCCTTTTTCGGGAACTGGACCTCCCTATTGGTGGGTTGCGCCCTCGCGATCGCGATCGACCTGGTGGTCGATACTCCCGGCGCAGATTCTCCGTCACCAACGCTGCGATCTGCTTTACCAGCCGATCCATGTCAGTACACTCAGCGATGGTACTTCCCCTTCCGGGGGGACTTATCTCGCTGACTTTGTCTGCAAGCGCCGCCATCTTGTCCAACGTCGCTTCCTCTTGGGTGGCCAACACCGTCTGGACGTTTGCTGGAAGCCTATTCTTCCAGATCGTCTTTAAAAGATCTTCCGGCACGTCCGCCTCCGCAAGAGTCTTTAAATGACGGAGGAATTGTGATGGCGTCCTATCGCCGATCTCTTCGTGTTCCAACAGCTTCCGGATCCTCTTCTCCTTCGAATGAGAGAGCCTCGCAATTAATTCCTGCTTGAGCTTCTCAAACTTTCCATTTTCCGGTGGATTAATTAAAATGTCTTCCACTTCAGCTGCAGTCTTCGCATCCAATTGCTCCAACACGTGTCCGTAACGTGTTGCGTCCTGCGTGATTCCCCGCAACGCAAATTGGCCTTCCAGGAGCGCGAACCACAACGCTGGACGATCCGGCCAGAATTTAGAAATCCTGAGACTCACGGCATTCGTTTCTTGAGGATCTTCTTCCTTCTCAACTGCCTTTTCTTTCTCAGCCATTATTTCCTTTCTTCTTGAAATTCGTCGGGGTCACCAAATGTGGAGATTTGGATAAGCAACTAAACGTGTTCTCTGGTTGAAGACTTTATTCCGACTGACTCGCCTAGGGGGCTCTCTACGTGCACACCAAGTACGTGCCGTACTCTAGGTAAATATTCCTAGCCTGGGAACTAGCGCTCGCTAGGCTGGAACTAGGACTCCCTAGGCCGGGAACTAACAGTCCCTACAAGCGCTCTCAGTTTCTCTCTAGTATGACTATATGGGCCCATTCACATGCGCCCAATAAATCCCTAGTCTTAAATTGGAAGACAAGCCTAGGGGATAACGGCATACGCCATAATTAACCAAGAAATTATATGATATATAATTGGCACTTACTAACCAATCCATGTAGGCACTGAAAGTGCACATATGCAATATTAGTGCTTATTCTACACTACACTGCTCTCAGACGATCAAAAATTTATTTATCTCTCGATTTAGCTGCAATAATTAATCAGAGGGCATCCTGTCAAGTTGCACAGGCGATCTAAAACGATATATTTCCTCACTGTAATGAGCGGGCTTAAAACATAACTTACCTTACTTTATTCTAAGCTTACTCTCGCTCGTAATAAGTAAAGCTACGTGCTCTGTACTTCCTACTGAAAACAAGTACGTTCTCATTGTCTGTTGCATAATATAATCCTATTGCCACACAGCTTTCTCAGCTGACAGCTGGCGAAACAACCTCTGCTAACATAACCCTACATCCTAAAATAACTCATTGCCTAACTTCCCTGTCGATACCCATGCCATCACAGCGTATGCGAGCGGTGCAGATATTACTTTACTTTGCATCCCTATCAAATATAATTTTGCAGAATATGCTTATAATCTATTAAAATCAGAATTTGTCTTTTAAATTTGCGCGCCCCAAGTTCAAGTCGGCGACATAGCATCTGTCTTCCAATCCGAAATTAATGTGTGCTCTATTGGCTCATGAAAACTAATAATATCTCTCTACACCCTCTGCGCATGCTCTTCGAACATTCATAGGACGCTCATTATGACGTAGTAGTCTCTTAACAAATTAAGAAGCTAGGCAAAGCTGATTGGTTTATATCAACCAATCACAATAACATGTGAACTACACGCATGCCCAGTGATAAAACTCTTGTGCTGACCGGCTACATCTCGTGATTAGCCTTGAGTAACATAACCTACATCTGTCAAAGTTAGTAACTTTAGTCATATATTGCTTTATCGATTTCATATTTGAGCATACAGTTGAGCATCATCTGCTTTAATTATCTATAAAGCGTACGCGTCCTGTTATCCAAATCATACTCGCAGAACACTTAGTAATACAGGAACTCTCTACACTATGCTTATACGACATTCTATCGATACTTACCTTACCGATCCTTGATCCTACCGCTCCCGTCCATATTCCTAAATTATCTACCCAAAACATAACCTCTCCTGTGACGTCTTATCCCTATTCCTACTACCTTTTATGTGCGTGACTGGGTATAGAATGAATGTGAGTGTGGGCTGGCGCAAACATTCGGGGGGCTTGGGGTGCCTGAGGTGCTGGGGGTGAGTTTGGCCTCCAGTTCCCGAGGGCTGCTGTGAGCTAGCTCTGCCGAGGCCTTCCCGGTGTTTGTCGTCTGGAAGTGTCCCCTTCGGGTCCCTGGCCAGGGATTGCACACTGGGTTGGGGTGTCGGAGCCCCAACTGCCCCGGGCGAGCGCTCCCCCGTCCGACGTTCGGGGGGAGCAAAGAGAATGTATGGGGTCGGCGGAGTTCCGCCGAGTGGTGAAAAACTCCATGGGTGCACCCCTCCATACAGCTGCCCGCTCCCTTCTGCATAAGCGACACCAATCTAAAAAAGAATTATGTCTAAATCAAACAACAAACTATCCTTATTTCAAACTAAACTACCATTAACCATTGAAAAAAATACTGAACACAATGACTCAGAACCAGAAAATTCCTCTACCCCCATTCCGTCGTCTGACTCGACCAAATCTGACGACAAATACGCATACGCATACTCTCATACCCCAAAATTTAACCTCGCCGGTAGTCCCCCATTATCCCGCTCGATTACACCAACCGGTGATTTATTCTCCTCCATTCAATCGAGCAATACATCTACGGCCAAACGTAAGCGTAGTCAACCGAAACAGGTCACCGACACTGGAAACCACGACGTCTCTAAAGGTTTCAGTAACGGCAGTCGCGGAAATAGAAGGAAACCTAGAAAGGAGGACTCCTCCTCCTCCACTGAATTTGAAGACGTTGACTCAATCATCTCCCCTCCTCATGCCGAGCCTTCTCCTAATTTTGCCGCAATCTTACTCGAGTGTGCTCAGGAAGTTGAACTGGTGAGGACTAAATCCTCCAACCTGCAGGGTACCCTCAGTAAAAGGCTGAAACTAGCTGCTCTAAAAATCAAAAAAGTTGGAACTGACATTATCTCTATCTCCTTCAAGGAGCCCCACGAACGCCTAAAGGTGGAAGATCTGATCGCTGAGAATAATAACCTCTCTAATACAACCCAAAAACTTCAGAAGCCAAGATTAAATCCTTAGAAGACAAAATCAAGCAACTAAGTCAGCCCACTAACGCTTCTTCCACTGCTCCTCAGATAGAGATCCCAGCTAACACTGACCCCAGTAAGTTAATAGAAACGGTAAATAAAAATATCGACAGGAAACTAAACAATTTCAGAAAAGAAGTAGTTATGCTACTTTCTTCCAATCTCAGTCAACTACGCCAGGACAGGACTCCTTCATCCTCTAGCACCCACAACGTTGTTGATCCTCCTCCTCCTCCTCCTCCTCCTCCTCCTCAGTTTTCTCCTCAGGTCCTACCCCTAACCCCAAGTGTCTCCTCTGTGATACCTCCCGAACCATGGAGTAAGGTGGTAAGCAAGAAAGCCAAAAGGAATCCACAGTTAAACACCAATGCGAATGCTTACCCCCCACCACAACATCCTAACCCTCCCCCTTCTCTTCCACCACGTCCGCCTCCGACTAGTGGGCCTATCCCTAAACCTTCGGTGAAAAAACCCAGAAACACTGAGGTAATCTACTTAGCTACAGCAGAAAACAGCTCACTTAAACTCCCCCAAATCCTTGCCAAGGCAAGAGAATCCATAAATCTTCGTGACCTAGGAATAGACGCTATAAAACCTCGTGCATCTCTGAATGGTGGTCTCATTCTTGAGATCCCGAAGAAGGAGGAAAGTGGTGCAGCAGCTAACCTGGCTCAAAAAATCTGCGGCCTCTTTAACCCCGAGGATATACGCATCTCCTGCCCTATCAAGTATAGGGAAATCCTACTAACCAGTCTCGATTGCTCTATTTCGCAGCAAGAAGTTGCCGATACTCTGAAAAAGATTTGTGGGAAAAACGAGGACCTGATCCTCGGTCCCGTACGCCAAAACCCACGTGGTACTGCCACCATGTGGTGTAAATGCGATGAGATGGCGGCTTACAAACTAGTTACCGAGCAATCTATACAAATCGGCTAGTCGGTGGCAAAAGTCCACCTACTGGATCCTAGGCCGTCCCAATGTTTTAAGTGTTGGGCGTATGGGCACGTGAGAGGCAACTGCCCCTCAACCATTGACATGGAAGGATGGTGCCATAAGTGCGGATGCCAGGGACACCCAGCGAAAGCCTGTACCTCCGCGACAGCAGTTTGTAAGCTGTGCGAGCGAAATAATCTCGCTACTAACCATCGCATGGGCTCTGCTAACTGCATATCATATAACACGTATAGAAAACTTAATCTACCCGCAACACGTCCGCGAACGTTGAACTTACCCTCAAGTATACAAAAGGGCATGGGGGCGGAGGCAACCCCTTCTAACGCCGACCCATAAATTACACCTCCTCTCCTGTCCCTGTCCCTATCGTATCGCCCAGTACGCAGCTTTATCGCTTCTATCAAATTAATCTTAACCATGCAGCAGCGGCTCAGGCCCTGCTGGAATACAACATGTATAAGGAATAGGTCCAGTTTGCCCTTATATCGGAACCCTACAACCATAACCGCCGGGGCTGGATCGGCAATAAGGACAATAGAGCCGCTATTGCCCTTAACTCCGACAGGATTAGGAATGTAACTACATTGTTAAATGAAAAAGACGTTGTAATTATTAACGCAGATGACACTATTATGGTCTCTGCCTACTGCTCTCCGTGTGATAACCTTAAGCTTTTTAAATCTCGCCTAAAGCTGTTTAGCAAAATCTTTCGGAATCATGCAAACTTACCAATTATTGTTGGAGGCGACTTTAACGCCGCTTGCACGCTGTGGGGCTCAGCAAAGACGAACCAACGCGGTAAGATCCTAATAGAATGGGCAAGATCAAACTATCTCACCATAGTTAACACAGGAAATACACCTACCTGCATCCGTTATAGAGGCTCCTCTATTGTGGATATTACTTTCGCGAATCGAGCTGCCTTGCGGTCGATCTTATCCTGGACCGTACTGAACGAAGTCTCTATGTCTGACCATTCGTATATAAGCTTTTATTATGCACCTTCTGCTAGTACTCGGACAACGATCGCTTCGTTCCCCCGGTGGAACCGCAAATCGTTTAACCCTGATATATGCGAAGCGGCTATCACCACAATTAGCTGGAGCGAGTCTGAAAAGATTAAATCAATTAGGGGCGCAGTTGCGGATATCAACGCCGCACTCACACAGGTAGCAAACTCTTCAATGAAAAAAGCACCTCGTGTTTGTAAACTCTGCCCACAGAATTGGTGGAACAGTGAAATAAATTCCCTACGCAAATCTTGTCATAGCGCACGTAGATCTTGGCAACGCTTAAAAAAGAAGAAGAATATCCCGCTACTGACAATCGCTGCCAGCGAAAGCATATACAGAGATTACAAGAAACGATTGAAAGCTTCCATAATTAAATCTAAAAGCGAACAATGGAAGAAACTATTAATCCAGCTAAATGACGACCCCTGGGGTCGTCCGTATAGGTGGGCCATGAAGGAGGAATCCTCTTCCTCGCTACCCATCGCCGAAAACCTTGACCCAGTGACCTTAAACCTCGTCCTTGATGGCCTTTTTCCAAACCAACCCTCACCTAACCTTGTAATACAACACTCATCTTGGGATCCGAATTACGTGGTAACCCAAGATGAGATTAAGTCAGCTACCCACAGAATGTTGAGGAAAGCCACTGCCCCTGGGCCATCTGGAGTCCCGTACTTCATTGTGGCACGATTCGTCGACAGGCAAATATCTGCAATAAGCTCCCTATTTTCCGATTGCCTTGCCAACGGCACCTTTCCTGCGTGCTGGAAGAAGGCAAAACTTGTTCTTTTACATAAACCTAATAAGCCTATTGGTGTTCCATCGTCATATAGGCCAATCTGCCTCCTCGATGACCTTGGGAAGCTCTTTGAGAGGGTCATTTCCTACCGCATTGAAAGTCATATGATGAGACCCGAGTACGGACTGTCGGACTTCCAATTTGGATTCCGCAAAGGACGCAGCACGATCCAAGCCCTGAGAATGGTAACGGAAAAAATCAGATCAGCAACTTCAAGGAACCTCAAGGTTATATCCATAAGCATTGATATCAGCAATGCTTTTAATACGCTTCCATGGTCGACTATTATTAATGCTCTTATTTCCAAACAATTTCCTGCTTACTTAATTAAAATCATTTATAGCTACCTCACAAACCGCGAAATACTTACGATTAATAGAAGCAACAATCTTCTGAAAAGAAGCGTATCCGCAGGAGTACCTCAGGGCTCGGTTCTTGC